AAGGCACATTAACAGGAAGCATCAAGCAATCATCTCCATCATTTCTTATGCAAAAACAGGAATTCCTGATTTCTACAGATACCACCAAATCTTTGGCTATCTCTTTGAGTTCCTCCCATCGCAGGGTCAAAGAACAAATAAGCTTAACAAACAGAGTCCTTGAAAGGTAACAAATGTTACATAGCTTGTATCAATGCCTTCATTGTAGAGAAAGAAGTTTCCTTTCAAATGTCAAATGCCAGAGAGCCACGGTGGACTCCCACAACTCTGCACACTAAGGATTGAGATTCTGAGATGCAGAAACTGGGTCTCAAACATGACAGGTTTAATCATCAGTGCAGCTCTTAAAGCACTCAGATGGCTGTAGCCTCACCCAGGAGACTCTTATTTGAGTGGTCTGTTATGGAGTACTAGTATGTTTTAGAAGTTCCTTAATTTATTTTGGTGGAGTCAGTTTGAGAACCATTGATGTAGATAATTAAATCAATTCACAGTAACTGTATATCCATCATGTGGAAGACAATATTCAGCGCACTGTAGTGGCTACTGTGATAAAATTGAGAGCATCCTTTCTTGGGAGGATCTTAAAATACCGCAATCTGATGGGAAAATAGTATCTGGTACAGAGTAGACCCTCCAAGTTATATGTTTAGTGAATCAGTGAAATATCTCCAAAGATGTTGGGCAATTTAATCAAGAACTCCAGGAGGAGGAGGAGAGGTTGGGGAACAAAGAAAAGCCTGGATACAAAGGGCCTCAAGTGGCCATAGCCAATAGCACAGGTGCTACATGGCCAGAAACCAGGCAGGCCTTGAAAGGATGTTCTGGTTAAGATACAGGGTCTCCAACCTCACTTCCTTGGGCACTAAAGCTTTGCTTTACTCTAGATTCTAATACAGAATTGATCCTCAGAAAATATCTACTAGTTTGAGGTTTTTGTTTATTGCATTTTTAGAATAAAACTTTCAAGAGAAATTACTACAATACAGTTCCGTGAGCTGGTAGAACCAAACATTTCTAATTATGTTCTGATAGCCCTTAGCCAAATTACTGCAAATGTCATCTCTGTGGCTTCCTTTTTGATGTAAAACTGCAGGATATAAGCAATATACACAATTAAATCTTAACACAGGCAGACGCTGATCACAGCGACAGACGGTTTTTATTTATTTATTTATTTTTCATGAACCTAAAATCTGCTTAGTCAAGCAGCTCTTTCATTGCATGACCTGCTTCTAAAAAGATGTTTGTCTTTCAAGCAAGCTGCTGCTTTGGCAATTAGGAGTTCATAAAAATGTGAGGAATTGCCCTGTCACGCGACGGTTAGTGAGATGGCCGTGTCGAAGGGCCAGGTTTGACTATTGTGAGAGTCCTGTATTGGCACAGACCCTGCTTTGGGGCTTCCTGCATCATTGCAACACTTGCCAATGAGGACAGGAGGGCTTTGTTGGGGTGACATTGGGGTAGGATCTGAAAAGATGAGAAGGGCCTTGCTGGCGGATTCAGAGAAAGTAACACGATTGCTACAGGGGACTGTACAAAGGTCTCAGGATGTGAAGCAGCACTGTTAAGTAATGACCAAGAAATAAAAGTGGATGACAGCGCGTGGCTGTGGTGACCATGGGTCTTGCTGAAGAAGCTGGCATGGTTTAGATCTAAAATCTACCCAAATCTTATGTGCTTGGAAGGTGACTGGATCCTGGGGCCCTATCCTTATCGGGAATTCCCTCGTAGATGTTTGTAGGTGAATGCGCTGTGAGGAGGTGGGGCACGACTGAAGGTGGTCACTGGGGACATGGCACAGAAAAGTGTATCTTTGTCCCTGGTTCTTTCCTTCTTGCTGTGCTTCCTGGCCACCGGGACGTGAGCAGCATTTTGTGCACTAGGCCCTTCCACCATGCCCTTCCTGACTTGGGTTCAGCTGGCTGTGGGCTACAATCATGAGCCAAAATAAATCTCTCCTTGTTGTGAGTCAGCTACTTCACTGCAATGATGAACTCACCGATACACCACAGAGAGGAAAGAGGGAGCCAATGGAGCATTTGAAAAGGGAAATTGAGTTGGGAAGTCAGGTTAGTATGTACAAGGGACTCTTAGGCCTTACAGTCTAAAAAAATTAAGATATTCTTTGCAAGTTAAGAAATATTTAACATTTGAATTGCATACTAATTTGAAATAAATTATAGACTTGTGAAAATGAGGAGTTCTGAATTTAAGGCTCATTATCTTCAAGAACAATCCTTTTCTGGTTTGTAGAAGGTAGACTGCATTTGTACAATGTGCCCTTACTCTGAAACTTATTCCTAGGATTGGGAGAGATTTATTTTGGCGGAAGGAACACTGACAGTCATGGAAACCAAATAGAGACTCCATCTAGAAGGGCTGAGCTGACCTGTGTGGAGATGTCCCCTCTCTGTCTCCAGGGAGCTGTCCTCACTCCCTTTGTATAGGATGGCAGACTTTGCTTTCTGACAAGCTTATCATCATCCTGTAAATGTTGCCTCCTGCTCCTCCTGAAAGGGAATCAACACACTGAAGCAGGAAGTGGGGAGAGCTAAGTGTTCGTGGAGGGCTGGGGGAGACTTGCTCCCCCATGTTCCAATAGGTGCTGCTGTGAACCTTTCGATCACTTACTCGTGGAGAAACAGACATCGCCCTCAGAACTCAGCCACACCACTCCTCTTCTCCTTAATAGGCTCTGAAACAAAATAATTAATCTAGCCATGTAATTCCTTTATCTTTCTAAGCATATCTGGAAAAAGAACATGAAGAAAAAATTACTGACTCCACAATCATCAGATGTATGTCAGACATTTTATACCATTTGGCTAGTTTATAGTTCTGAAATTTTCGGATACCTTTTGCATCCCTGCTCTCTCTGACAGGTTAGACTTCTATAGCACTATAGCATACAACATGGTAAGAGACCAACCTGAAGAGATACTGAATCTTTCTGTTGGAGATTAGGACGTAAACTGTACCAAGTCCCCATAGCTCATGAGTGGCAGTTCATAGTTGAAATCTGAGTCTTATCAACCTCCAAATTCATCTTATCTCAGGAAAATGTTTTAATTTCTTAAGGGTATTATAGTTTTAAAATATGTGGGGCCATCAGTGATGCAGCTAAAAGCAATCACCAAAATTCTAATTTGCTTCCAACTAATGAGTCTAAAAGAAACTTGGGAGTTGATTGATATTGCTCAAGAGACACTCTAAGAATATGAGCTTGCTTTTCCTTCAGGTTTTCTTTTTTCTCTCATTCTGAAGTCACATTGCAAACCCATCTTCTGCACAAAAAAGCTTTTCCTCATGGTGGCAGGTGGATGGGATCTGATCTAAGACAGCCTTGTATCTCAAATATCATCGTGAGGCTCTTATACTAACTGGACTGCATTTCTAGATAATTTCAGAGTTCTCACCCAGGAGATATTTTCCTTATCTTTTCTGTTCTGAAATGGTTTTCTACAATAATAACTATTCAAATGGTTTTGAACTTTGAGAGCTACCTTTGGCACCTCAGGCAGCCGTGTCTTCAAGTATGAATAAGGGCCTTCTTGAATCACACTCTTTAAATGTATATACTCTCATCTTCTCTAATTGACTATCACTTCTTCAAGGATATAATCAGTGTCTGGTTAATCTTCATATTTCTCCCATCCCACGATACAGTTCTGAACCTCTTTATAATTGCTGAAGTGAATTGGTGGATAAATTTAGTATAATGATCTTTGACAAAGCTTATTGTTACTATAACATCTCCACACTAGTAGAAGTCGAGTAGAGATAGCAATTTTATGAAACCTTTTCAACTTCCATATTGGATGTTAATGCTTAGAATACTTTAAAAGCTTTGTGAATGTCTCAGTGGCAAGACAGGAAGCAATTTCTGATGGAGAGATTTATCCATATAGGTGAGTTCACAAGTCTGTTCTCCATGACAGGCAGGTATAATCGCCTCCTTTTTAAATGAAGGAAAGATTACTTGTCTAACATGAAAAAATGAAACTTAAGTGAATGGAATTCTGTGGCATTTCTGTTCTGTAAACCACAGATACTTAAATCAGAGTACTTAAGATCAATGACAGCAACCATTAAGTACCTTATGGAAATCACCATGTAAGTACAAAGGTAGAACCAGTCTGAATTCAATGTATTAAGTGGTGAGAAGTGGGGGAA